GAAACAGAAAGGAGAGGATGCTTTGCATTCATGCCCTGCTTGAAGGATTCCTCTGGCAGGTCAACATTGGAACAGAATGCTGGACCAAATGACCCTGGCTGGGGAATTCTGGGAGTTGAAGTCCACACTTCATGTTGCCAAGGTTGAGAAATACTGATCTGATCCAATACAGCGGTTCTTATGTAGATCACCATGTACAGATTAAGTTACTGCTTAAAAGCAGTCTGAAAGTGCACCAGCTACTGAAGGAAGTGGAAATTCCACTAACGTGTACATCTATTCACTAAGCTGCTTTTTCTCCAGTCATGTAACTTTCTTTAAGCAGAGAGGAAAGCTTGCTGTGGGGTTTAAACTGGAAATGACAAACACTCTGCATTTGGATGTCTCTCCCTGATTAAATGGCAGTACAGGTTGGGGGACGTTGGGAGGGTGAGTAGGAATGAATGTTCACTAGTCTACTCTTTGAAGTAATGTAGCAGGTTGCCACAGACCTGATATTTTTGCTGAGAAGCTGAGAATACACAAACATGATTATTGACTCAGGAAACTACAAAAGAATCTGGTTCCCTTTTCTCCCTTTTAAAACACTCCACTCTACTGTTTCTGGTTTGTATTATTCTTGATTATTTATTATATTTATAAATCGCTTCAACCTTAGAAGACTGTGACATACAAGAAGCAGAGGCCAGAAGGGGCTCGTGAACGCCTGAATTACAGACTTAGGGGGAAGTAATCCCCTCTTATGTTAAGATGCTTCCCAGTAAACTATGCATTGACCACTATGCCTGTTGCCATCCTAAATCCTACTGTCTTTCTACAAATCGTGCGATTAGGCACGTTTTTAGATTTACTAACTGAAACGAATTTAAGAGCCGTTTATTCTGTTCGGGTACCCCGTGCCTTAAACGCCTGGACTTTACTGTAAGGACCCAGACAGCCATTGCGAAGGCGCCCTTATGACACGATTTTGTCCCCAGCCATCTCAGGCTTCGACAGCCCCCCTTCCCCCAGCCCGCCTGGCATTTCCAGTCCCCCTCGACTGCTTCCCGCGGACGGATGGACCCCGATCCTCCAGAAGCCTCCACCCCCGAACGAAGGAACTCACCTTCGAGAATCCTGCTGCTAAGACCGCACCGGAAGAGGAAAGGCAAAGCTGCGCGCGCAACAGACCCCGCTTCCGCTACAGTCATCCAGAACCATAGAGGAGGCTACAAGGGCTACTGGGTTCAACAGGAAAAAGCGGTCGCTTTTTCAATCCGGGTCAGGCGAGAGCGATGAAGACGGTGACTATGGAGGCTGGGCTGGGTTCCATGCCGGTACCCCGTGCAGAACTGAAGCTGGTCCGACTGTTGAGCCGTTGTGAGGCGATGGCGGCCGATAAGCGAAATCCGGACGAGTGGCGGTTGGAGAAGGTCCGGAGGGGCGCGTGGGATGTCCCAGAGGTCTCCTGTAGGAATTAGAGGCACACGCGGCGCGTTTTTTCATAATTGCAGGCAGAAATTTGAGAAAATTTCTGTTTGTGTGGTAGCTCTGAGTGGCCTGCCTGCACTGTTTGGCAGAACCGCGACCTATCCTATTAAATAGACAAATGGATTACTTGCTCGTTAAGTAAGTGATTGTTCTGTGCCATTATATTCTTTTATGGCAGAACATTTGCAACGTTCAATAGTCTCTGGCAGGGCTTTTGGAACCCAAAGTCAAATCAAGCGTGATTCCTAGTGACTATGTGGACATCCCATGTTAGGGCTTGGCAAAAATATGGAAGCAGTTTGCTACCACCTTCTTCCAGTTTTTTTTTTTTTAAACTTCCCAGTCTGATTTGCAGCTGTGGAATATTCTGGTCTCCCATCCAAATGCCTACTAGGTCTGATCTTGCTTAGCTTTTTCAAATCAGCCTAGCTTAACTAGGTGCTCCTGCCTGCTGTTATGTTGGAAAATACTCTTAGTTTTAGCCCAACCTGTAGTATCAGTGGCTGCGCTTGCATATTGTGCTAATGTGTGGTTTGCTTAGCTCAGCTTATTGAATAAGCTACAATTTGCTCTGGTTCACATAGTATATCACACCATAAATCATGATTTACAAACCACAGTGGCTGGTTTGCATAGCACACTTTGAACACACAAGATCAAACAAACATGATTTTGGCTTAATACAGTGTGTGAACTAGGTCAGTGGAAGCCATGTCATAGAGTTTACTTATTTAAAACATTTGTATAGCTGTCCATCTAAACCAAACTCTGGGTGGCTTACAAATTGTAAGTGATTCTTTTCCAGAACCATTCTGCCTTACAATATGAGGTAGTGATTTTGCCTGTGTGGACTGTATATTAATGGGGTTAAAATACAGGGATTTCTATTTTGGACAATCATAAGACTGGTGATTTAGAGGTAGGTCTTTTTTCAAATATCCATGTTGTGATGCTGGCAAAAACCTCAACTGGGGATTTTTAAGTATTCATATAGTCATCAAGAGCAGTGGTGTCCTCGTGTGTGCTTTACAACTTAATTCATAGTTTCATTTGAAAGAAATGGAGCCAGGTAAAGGTCTGTGGAGGATTATAAGCACAGACAGAAATCTGTGCATATATTCTAAGCTCTGGTTTGTTTAACTGTAGTTTACTGGATGAACTTAATTCACTGGATTCACATAATTGCTGAGCCAAGGAACCACAGTATGTTATGTGAATCAGGTGAATATTTAAGGCATTTATTATGATAGCCCATTGTAGACGCACATGATTCAGTTGGAAGTAATAAGTGCATTTAACAAAGAATTAAAAATAACGGGTATCAAATAATAAGTGTTCGCGTACACGACACAATATGGCTGCATGTATTATGTTGCCAGTGTTCTGAAAGGCTGGTGCCTCCTTAATACTAACATGCTGTACTTGTCCTACCGCTGCTGTTCTGTTTGGTGTTGTGCTTTGGTCCTCAGAGCTCTCTAGCACAACAGGAATCTTCTCCAGAGAAAAAAGAAAAGATAGCAAATTACAGAAGATTTTGTATCCTTTTAAGAAACATAGTGTTTAAGATAACATGTTAATGCCCATAAAGTACAGGCTGGGCAATTAATTTTCCCAGCAGATTCAAGTAGAATAACTAGGCAGTAAATTTTCATTGTAAGAATTAGCTTCCTCTGGTATGTGTTTCTCCTTTGCCTTCTGATCTGAGAAGATTAGTGAGTTAGTATCTATCAACTATATACCGTAGATTCTACAAAATATATGATGGTTAGGCTGGCAGTCTCCACTGGGTGTCTCCCTCAGTCCAACATACAGCTGATAACTGTTCTCTTCTGTGTTGTCCTGTGGTGGAAGAGGTGGGAGGAAATGAGCCTTTTCCAATATCAGGTTGCCACGTCATGGAGTCCACTGAGAGTCAGGGTGGTGCAGATCTTGGCCTTGAATGTGGCAACCCCCATTCAGATCCATGCTGTGAAATGTGTAGGATAGTCACTGCCAAGAGACTTTCTCTTAATTAAATCCATCTTGGAAAATGTAGGTGTAAAACTGCCGATGTATTGCTATAATTTATGAAAGCCTTTTTAACACTTGGCTGAAAAAGGCCCTGAGCATGGCTTATGAAAAATTGATTTAAAAACAGACAATTTCTGCCCCACAATCTAAAGACATGCTGAAAAAAGGGAAAACAATCAGATACAAGCATCAAGTTGTCAAATGCATAATTTTAATACTGACTGGCTGGAAAAGAGTGATCAGCTGACCATCATTTGTTTCCCTAGGAGTAAAGGAAGAAATGCCCTTAATAAGTAATGACACTTTTTTTAGTTCAGTTTTGCTTTGGTTCTTGAGCATTCTGAGCCCCATTATATTCTATTATTTAGTCAATAGTTTAATCCCAGATCCTTTCAGATACCCATTCCTATTATTTCAGAATGTATCATGGAAGGAAAAAAAAATTCTAAAGCACATAACATACTTGTGTATTTCATTGCCTGTTAACTTAGTTCATATGTCATTGACACGGGCTCAGGAGTCATGATTTAGAGATGTGTTGGTCAAGATAACTGCCTGTTGTGCAGCCTGTTCAGAAACTAAACGTGATTATGAGGTCATTGGTTAACTGAGAGCCAGATTAGATGCTAGCAGTGAAAACATAGTACCATAATGTTCTGAGACTGAAAGAGAATCCAGTTTTATTATTCTGCAGGCAGAGAATCACATTCTGCAGGCAGAGAAGAGAATTTATATGAAATGTAGGGCTGAGGAATTTTGGTTATTAGCAAACTATGCTTAGTACACTGGGAATAATTTTGGATCATGCTGCCTTAGGATGTAGTTTCTAGATAACTACATTTACAAAAAAACCCCTTCCCTCTCTCTTTTCTGCAGATTGATATTCTTGAACTGAGAGAGTGTTATAACACTTTAAAAATAAACACATGTATTATGATGTAAGCTTTTATGAATCATAATACAGTAAACTTCATCTGACTATATCTGATGAAATAGATTATGTATTTAACAGTTTTGTTAGTTAATATTTATATTTAAGGTGACACAAGACCTAGTCATTTTTACTGTGGCATGCTAACAGAACTACATCTCTAGAAATCCCATGTATGTTTACTCAGAAACAAGTTCTGCTGAATGCACTGCGAGTTAGTGTGTATGTTTGCATTGCAGCCTTAGTTTTTCTAACTGGTAGAATATAGCCAGGCGCTCAGATGGCTTTTAAAACAAAGGTGATGTAAACTGTAGATTCTTAGCAGATAAATCTTATTGACAGAATGTTCTGTTCAGAGGCAACTTCTGAGTTTCAGTGACTGGAATTAAAGGGAAGTAGCTATCAATCTTATAGCTAGAAAAAGAACGCTAGAGTTCATGGACTAACCTTGGTCTGATTCATCAGGGAGCAGCCACTGTGAATGCCACCTCTTGGCTATCTGTGGGCTGCTGTTTCTCTTGTCGGTGCATTCTGGAACTCAGTTAAGATGGTGTCTAAGGCTTTGATTCACATCACTAGGACTGGGCAATCTATGGGCAGCCCCTGTAGCGCATTGAGATCCCACCATTGGAATTTGGTGGCAAGGTATCTGTGAGGCAAGAAACACCAGTTTCTAGCCATAGAACGCTCAAAACATCACAGTGTTTTCATAAGACCTCCTGCAGCCCCCTGAACTTTGGAGATTGAGGTACAGTCCCCAGGCTGAAAAGATTGCGCAAGTCTCTTTTACACCATTAGCCTCCTACATGAAGCCTTAAAATAGGCCTAGTTCCAATGAGAAGGGATTCTCTTCTCTTTCCCGGAGATTCAGCATCATGATTCACCAATGCCAGAGAGCAGCACACTGGCTTTACCAGAACTGGTGAAGGGATGCTTCTTTGTTCCAATCTGTTCCTTGGAAGGAAGGAGATGTCCAGTTTTGCAAAGAGGCTTCCAAACAGGGATCTACCTATAAACAGCCCACCTCTGTTTTACAAGCATTATCTTTTTCTCTCCAGTGCCCAGAGAAGCATTGGCTCCAGTGTAGCATTGATGCCCCAAGGCTTACTTTTTTTTCTTCTTTCTTTCGTTTTCGGGAGACATGTGGATTTCTATGTGCTGCTAAGGGTGAGGGTGGCAGGCTGGAGAAAAAGGTAGGGTTGCTGTTACAGTTGGAAGTATATGCTTTCATTTATTTTTTCCCCTTATCTATCTGCCACCTTCAGGCATATCAAGCTCTGGAAAACTGGTTAGGTTTCAATAGAACAGAATATATGTAGTTCAGGATTGAACTATGGACTCCTTGGCGCTCTCTGAGCTTGGTTGTTTGCTTGCAGACGTTTCATTACCCGACTAGGTAACATCATCAGTGTTAATGAGTGTGGGGTTTGCTCCCTGTTCACATATAGTAGTTTGCCCTGCCAGTGTTGGTTGGGGGTGTGATTTTTCTCCTTAGTAGTTCCTTGATTAGGATATCATTTTCTGCTTGATTATTTGTCTGGTGTTAGTCCCTGCTTATCTGGGTGTTGGTTGCTGGAGAGGATGTTTCTTTTTGTTTCCTTCTTAGCTTTTTTATTCTCTCTTTTGAATGGTGTGTAAATGTGGTTTATCTCTATGTGTCTCTTGATGGCTGAATATGGCTGCATATAAACAGAGAGTAACCCCACACTTACTGGCATTGATGATGTTACCTAGTTGGGTAATGAAATGTCTGCAAGCAAACAACCAAGCTCAGAGGGCAACAAGAACTCCACAAACTGGTTAGGGTTGGCATTTCCTGAGTCCTTTAGGAGCAACAGATTGTGTCCCCCAAGTTTCTCACCTGAGAAGGGTCCTTTCAAACCATTGGTTTGTGGTCCACTTAAGGCTGCATTTTGTTCTGTCCTCACTACAACCCTGTGAGGTAATGCTACAATTGACAGCAGCACAGCCAAGGCTACCTTTGAGCTTCATGCTTTAATGTATTACTGGAGGCTAGATCTCAGAAGGTCACATTTGGCTGATTTGTGCTACAGTTACTCAAATGTGCCCTTTTGTTTTCATCTTAGTATGTAGCTGCTCTGGAGGAGATGTTACTCACATTGAAGAAACACTCCAGGTGAGTTGCTATTTCTGGAATCTACATGGGTCTGCTTTGGGCACTGATCGAAGCAGATCCAATCCAATTTATAGTTCTAAGAAGGTGAGATAGGATAGATAGTCATTAGATAAACTGGAATTTGAGGGGTTTATGTTCAGAGTTTAATGCCAACCTGTTAGGCCTCTTAAGATTCTGTATTTGCAGGGAATATTCAGCACTGTGTAGTAGTCAATTCCATTTTAATTAGGTTATTTTGGCAAGCACATACGTGGTAATCAGATTTCACTTCTTGCTTCTAGTTTCCATGTGCCATACACTGCAAAAGATTATTGGAAATGAACCTGGTAGTGAGCCAGAAAGTGACAGTACAGAACAGGAATTGGTGACAATTCTTCCATTGCCTGTAGAGAAAACCCTGAATCACTGTGTCATAGATGGGAAATGTACAGCTTAAATTCCCATCATCCCTGACCACTGGGCATGCTGGGTAAGGAGATGGAGTTGGAAACCATAAACACATAGGATACCAGTTTTATGCTAAGTCTTTTTTTTTTAATGGCGCTAAAGTTGCTGCTGAATTGAACCATATCTTAGTCCCACTTCTTCTTAGACCTTCCCAGCTAATCCTGGTGGCTTTTTCCACTTCATGAGGACGGGAGAAGAGAGTGAGGTGTAGAGGAATATTTTTCTCTATGGTTCTTGCCTCAGGTTTGTTGTTCCCTTTCAGCAAACCAGCTCCTGAAGTACTGAATGAATATTCTCGTAAGGTGGATTTCTTAAAGGGCTTGCTAGAAGCAGAGAAATTGGTAAGGTCCTCTTTTGTGGTTTTTTTCTTTTTTAAATCTTTTTCAAGATCCTCTGTTGTGGTGATCCTCCATTCAAAGAGGGTCAATCACTAGGTTTCTTAGTCAAGTGCCTTTCACTCTCTTTTTCCCCCAGTCGTCATCATCTGAGAAGGCACTGGCAAATCAGTTTCTGGCTCCTGGTAGGACTCCTACCACTGCCAGGGAGCGGACCCCAGCAACGAAAACTGTGCATCTACAGACCAAGGCCCGCTTTATGGGCGAGATGAGGAATGAGCTGCTTGGTACAGTATGTCTTCTTGGCCATTTCTAAAATCACACCTCGAAAAACAGTCCCTCTTAATTTTTGCCTCTAGGCATCAGTTTGTCCAAGCCTCTTTGTACTGCTTCCTTCATCCCACCTCTCTCTGCCTTCTTTCTCTTTTTCCCTGTTTGTTTTTTGGGTGGTGTCTTCTACATATAGGTCAAGATAGTTAACTGAGGGAACTTGGTCTCTTGATCTAGGTGAAGGTAGTCAACTCTTTATCTTTGGGGTGAAGTGGTATGTTACTCTCTCTTTTATGGGCCTAGAGGACCTGACGTTATTTGGCAGAGGCCAAGAGATTCAAAATCACAAAGACCTTTCTCCAACCATTTATTTTTTTACTTTTTATCCTGCCTTTATTATTTTTATAAATAACTCAAGGCAGCAAACATATAGAATATTCCTTCTTCCTCCTATTTTCCCTGCAACAACAACCCTATGAGGGGAGTTGGGCTGAGAGAGGGTGACTGGCCAGAGTCACCCAGCTGCCTTTCATGCCTAAGGTGGGACTAGAACTCACCGTCTCCTACTTTCTAGCCTGGTGCCTTCACCACTAGACCAAACTGGCTCTATTTATTTCTGAACTCTTTTTATTTCTCCTCCCTTTCTGCCTACCCAGGACCCTTCCTATATCAATGGTAAGTGTTTACTGACCATTCCGTATATGCAAAGACTCTGGAGGTTGCCAGACAAAATATTTAACTCTCCAGCATTATGTAATATAATACATTATTATTTATATCCTACTCTTCAATAGATATCCCACTGATTTCCCATCTGGAGCTGTAGCACTGGGAATTCCCAGGCTGATCACCATGCTCAATTGCCATCTGCTTGTCTTGAAAATTCCTCCCTGTAATCAGGAAGCCATATATACCTGCTGTTGTCATATTCATGGCCCATCAGCAAATACTGGGAAAATGACATTTTAAGCAATGTGCCCCTTCTCACCCCTGATTCTGTGTCAGCTTGCCTTTTCCTCCCTTACTGCTGGCCTCCCCCTTATGCTTAAAAGTGTGGTGTAGTTTCTGTTTGTATCTTTGCATTTTGATTTATATTTTTAAGGTTTACTAGATAAGCTGATTTCCAGGGCAGGAGCATTTGTTCATTGCTTACAGAAAATTTTTTTTCCTTCATAGATTTGGAAGAGAAAAATTTAAGGAAACGCATGTGAGTATTTGGAAGTTTCAAGGGGAGGAGATTGGGGAAGGAAGAGGAGGTTAGGAATGGCAATGTCCAGAATTCCAACTATATAAATACATTGAAGTTTCAGGGAAATGGAAATTGGTAAGGGAAAAGGGAGAGTAAGAGTGACAATAATTTTGCCCTGTCTAGAGTTCAAACTAAACTATGTACAGCAGCTTAGTTCCATGGTTTTATGAGAAACCCAGCATGGTTTTGTCTTATTTCTGTTGGGAGATGGAAAAGTTCAGAGAGTCACGTTCCTCAAAAACCCTCCACTATTTTTCCATCTCCAGCTTGAGATGGAATCTGCTGCAGTTGGGTATGTGATTGCCTGCTTGAATCATATCCAGGTTTATACCTTGCATGGTGGAATGTAGAGATAAATGCTTCTCTGTGGACCCCCTCACCATTCTGTATATGTAGAAATGTCTTAAAGACAACCCATTAGATGAAATACTTTTGTATGTTGAAGTGGGATACTCAGATAAGAATGCAGCTGCATTGAATGGCCCCACCACACACTGCCCACATGATGTAGCTTTTCTCTTGACCTGACGTGGGCATTTAATATCTTCTTATCCTTGCTTGTGTTCTGGGCCTTTTATGAAACCTCATGAAAGCCAATTGTTTACAGGTCATCTTTTTAACGTGTACCAATAAGGAGATTTCTCTCCCCACAGGACTCCACTTCCTGATGAGAAGCAGTCAGCTGCTGAACTGGATGCAGTCCTGCAGCATCACCACAACATCCAAGAGAAGCTAGCTGAAGAGATGTTGCACCTGGCACGCAATCTCAAGAATAACACTCTTGTAGCCCAGAATGTGATTAAGCAAGATAACCAGGTAAGGCCTGATCCCCTCCCCACAACTGTGCACTCTACACAGCTATTTTGTAATTGTGACTGATTCTGGGAAAGTGCTTGTCCTTGTCAGAGCACTAAGGGCAGAGGAACAGCACTGTGAAAGGGCACTTGTTGGCATGGCACTCAAGCACTATAGGTTGCCCCCTTTCCTGAAATAGCCTTTTTTGTTGACTTCTCATGTGTGAATTTACCCAAGGATGTAATGTGGAATGTGCCTTCTCCTGCACCTGCCTGCGTTTTGCTGCTTTGCATTGACACTTTATTGTTTGTTTCAGACCTTGACCCAGTCACTCAAGCTGGCTGACCAGAACTTTGAGAAACTGAAGGCTGAATCTGACCGCCTGGAGCAGCATGCCAAGAAATCTGTCAACTGGCTCCTCTGGCTAATGTTGATCATTGTCTGCTTCATTTTCATCAGCATGATCCTGTTCATTAGAATCTTCCCCAAACTAAGATGATGTCTGGGCTTTGGTCAGCAGCAGCCTGGCACCTTAGCTTATCTTGTCCTCTTCATTTAACCCATCAAACCTTGCAGTGCTCCTGTAATTTGGTGAAAATGCTCATTGGGAGAAAGTTCCCCTGCAACAAGTTCGTGGAATCTAACCTAAATAACCTTCACGTTGGGGAACGTTCTCCTCCTGCTTGAAAGACTGAATAGGAAAGCTCCTTCTGCATTGTTATAGCAGGATTGAGCAACTTATGGGCCTTACGCAACAGCCCAGGAAGTTGTTCTTTTTGTGGCCCAAAGCCCCCAAGAGGTGGCACAATATTTTATTTTAAACAACAAAAACAAAAGGGGAAAAAAAACAATAGAAGTGGTGCTTTAGGACTTGGTGTACCTATTTAGAAGCAAATAATCCCCCAAAGAATTTGGTGACCCACAGTGGGGGCAAAAATAGTAACAAATCCCCTTGTTACCAAAAGTTTGCCATTCCTGATTTATAAGCCAACAAAGATTCTCCCAGAAGCAACAGGGAGCACAGTAGGCAAGCTGAAAACCTGTGAAAATAGGATGTGACTTGACTTACTGAGGTTGGATGGGCGGGGAGGAAGAGGTAATACATAGCTGTTCCTAATGACTTCTCTTTGACAGACCACGTCTCAAGCTTGTGCCTAGCAATATTGCTTCAGTCATCAGGTTCGTCGACAAAATGCTCCTTAACATACAGCAACCCAAGGCTATAGAATAATTCCCAATTTTCTTTTCTTTGGAATGCTGAAATAGTCCATCATGAATATATATATTCCACGTGCAAGTGTGCCATTACCTGCTTGTGAGGACTATGTACTTTGGGAAATATGATTACATTTCTAGGTGGAAGTTCATGATGGTGATTGACAGTTAACTGACCATGAGGAATAAAAGTGTGTCAGTGTTCTTTGGAGTCAGTGCTGCTTCATGGGAGTTAGGCTTCCCTGAGGACTGTCGCGTGTTCTTTCCATGTGTTTTCTGGCCACCACAAATGTGGACATTGCGGCAATTTAAGACTGAGGGCAGCGTACCCCTTTTTCATCTGATATGTTCAGCCAAAACAGGTTGTAAAGGAAGAATTTAGATTTGCCATTAGAAGGTAGATTGGACCTCACGCAAACAGATGTAAGCTTGTGTATGAATTCATTGCCAGCTAGACTGGATGTTATTCCCCTCCACATTCCGAAGCGATGGCAGGGGGAACAAGGAAGTGGGCAGGGGAGGTGTGTTATGGGCATTTTCTCATTAACAGCAATCCTGAAAGTACAGCACCAGCAGTGTGGTTAATAATCTGTAGGAAACAGCAACTCCCCCAATTGGGCCTCCACATTTTAACTTGGCATTTACACAGCAGAAGGGATGGGCACAAAAGAGTGCAATCCCTTCAGGGAGAGGAGTGTCACTGCATTTTCTGCTCATAAAGCTACCGCGGCTGTGTGCTGTAATGCTGAGCCTGTTCTCCCAATTCCTACCCCCTACTTCACCAGTTAAAAAGTGCTGACTTGGAATCAACTCATTAAGCTGTATATGAAGCTGGCGGTTAACAGGAATTGCCTATATGTTTGTTGTATCGTCAGCTGCCATGCCACAACTTGCACATTATGAATTATTGTAGCTGATTTACTCTCATGCAAGTCGCCTGCAAAAGAGATTCTGAGGTGAAAGCTGAGCCTTGCAAACCCTGAGAAGAGAGCTTTGGTGCTTTCCTAGTGTCATGAACACAGGGCAAGATCATGGAAATGTCAAGCTGCTAGATCAGAATATAACTGATATATTTTGGATATGCTCGGTCAAAACAGGTTGTAAGGGAAGAATTTAGATTTGCCATTAGAAGGTAGATTGGACTTCATGCAAACATAGATGTAAGTTTGTGTATTAATCCATTTGTCATGTAGAATATAACTATACTTTAGCCTTTGCTAAGAGAAAAGAACCAGTCTAATACCAGATCAAATCTTGGTTCACCAAGTCCACTGGAGTTGGGCAGCCAATACATTTAAGTAAAATAAAAGTCCATGTGTTATCTGGATTGGCAGTTCTATAGGGCGTTCAGGAGAGAGGCCGATCACCATCGCCTATCAGGGATTGATCATGAAACCTACATGCCACCATGTGCTCTACCGCTGCGTGATGATTCTCCAGAACTTTGTTTGCTTTGGCAACCTGGTTCTGCCATTTCCATATTTGCTATTACTGCCACAATAGAGGATCTGATATTTCCTGTCTTAACTAAAAAAGCTTTTGGAAAGATTTTCCTTGTATAATAGGACAGGATCTCCATCCTTCCTGCTGCTTCCCATCAGTAGCTAGGAAGGCTTGAGATGGAAGATGATGTAGATGTGTACGTGTTTCCAGACTTAGTACTTGCCAGGTGTCTTGCAGAGCAGGGAAGCATGTTCCCAAGCTTTCAGTTATAGAACTGGTGACAGACAAGGATATCCTCTAGCTTAGGAAGTTAGATTTGGGAGGAGGATGTCAGATATGATAGCAAAATGGCAACATCAGTGCTACTGCATATTTCAGGAAGTATCTTTGCCCCAATTCTGTAGGAAAGTCTTTGCAAAGTGCATACATCAAGTATCATCTTGAATTAAATTATTTGAAGGAATCCAACTGATCTCTCCAAATTTTAATCTGGTGATTTTGCCCCATGGTGCTAAAGGTGATACTTGTTGATTCTTGAACCCTGCAACAAACAAAAGGAGAACACTGAAAGTTTTGCACGTATGAGATTCCTGATTAAATGTGACTGTGGGTGAAGTTAGGCGTTCAATAAGAAACAAAACCTTATGTTGATTGGGAAAATGGCAATAAATCAGAAGAAAAAGAAAAGAGGGAAATCTCAAAAGTGTGTTGTTGCTTGTGTGACATAGTTGTTCTACTAAAAAAAAAATGAAATCACCCTAACCAAGGGAAAATTTAGTTATTATTAGATGAGGGTGGGCCTGGCATGGGAATTGCCTTCTTCCTTCTTTGCTGCCAAGACTGCCCATTACATCTCACATCATGGGAGTTACTTGCAATGAAATGAATCAATTTCATGTATAAATTCAATTGTTACTTGCTCCAAACAATTGTATAGTGTGTTATCTTGAAAACTATTTGTGCAATAGTTGTTTTGTGTCACAGTGGGAATGCCTCACAATGTCAAATCCCAGGGTGGTGGTCAGCTTGATGAATATCACAGGCTGTTTTAGAAAAGCAGGCAGGAAATCCTATGGTGGAAATTCAGGTATCGTGCTACTTTGGTATTTGGGCTGATTCCTGGACCTTACCACATTGACAGTATGTTCTTTCTCATCCGCTAAGTTTTCTAGGTGAGTTGGGATGGCTGGCAGCTCACTAACAAAGCTAGCCTCAAATCATACTATAAGAAACAAGAAAAATTTAACCCATCTATAGGATATTCTTTGTGGTAAATCAGAGCTGAAAGTAAAAGCTATTCAACAGTGTAGCTAATTACGTGAAGAAATGGCAGCCCCCCTTTCATTGGATATGTTCAGACAGAGATTGAATTTATTGAAGGCAATTTATTGAATTCATTGGGAATACTTTAATTTGGATTCCTGTGCTAAAAGGTGGGGGGCTTGATTGTCTAAATGACCCTGTCCAATTCTTTGATTCTATGAAAAGGGCCATTTTGGCCGTTGAATCCAACTACCCTGTTCCATACAAGAGTCAGAATTGAAGCATCCCTGATAGATGGCTTTCTAACCTTTGTTTGAACATAATGAAGGGAAGCCCACCACTTCTTTGGGTAATTGTCTACATTATTGAACTGCTATTTCTAAGATTAATTCAGAATCCAACTTGAATATTATATGTCCTAGCCCAGGAATGATGGGACAGGTCTCCTGTCTTGGAATCCTACAATCATTGCTCTGAGTTTATTAAAATTCAGGTTTTTAAGTCCAAGGTGCACATTCCACTATATTCAGCTTTAGTTTCCCTTAAAATCCATTACATTTTTGCTATTTTGCCTAAGTCTTCCATATGGAATTTGAAGAAATCAAGGATAATTTATCTTTTTGTGCTTTCCTTCACCCTCTGAAAGAGAAAATTATCAAGACAAATTAAGATTTCCTGGATGGAGTATGTTTAGCAGAGTTTGTCTCCCAATAGATATCAGCATAAAGAAAATTCCCTATCGCACTTTGTGAGATCTGCCATTTATCACCAGAAAGTATCATCCACACGTTCTCCTTGATTGGACAGGCAACGCTAAGCACCTCTTTCTCTAATTCTTCTGTTTATTATGAACAACTTGCATACTTGTTAGTTTCTGCTACATTTATTAAATTATTTTGCCTTTGTACATGAAGAGCTTAAGTTCATTTTATCTTCCATACTCTGAGCATTACTGTATAGTCAAAAGGTATAAATTCTGCCAGTGTTCTTTCTGATTTTTCAATAAATAATTTATTAGGTCACAATACACAATCCTTTAAAATGCACAGGTCTTTATTTGAGGTCTTTATATCAGACTTTAGGATTCAGTTTTAAGTCTTCTTATTAAAGTTTGTCATATTTCAGCCAAACATGTTACTCCTCTTTGTGAAGTGCAACTGATTTCATGCCAGCAGTCCAGCATCCAGACAACTCGGACGGTAACTCCAGAAACCAAATCTCTCCCACTGATAGCATTTATATAATCAGTCTGCAGTACTGTATTGTTTCTTGTTCCAGGGATTTGGAAAGATGGATGAGAATGTCACCTGATCCTCCAGGGTCTTCCTGCCTCGGTTACTAATGGCCATGGTGATAGTTTTAGCCTTCCTTTCTTATGTTCTTTATTGCCACATGAATCAGTAAACCTTGGGAGCTGATCTCTCCCATCCCCATTCTTGGCTGACAGCCCACTTTTTGAAGTGATACACTTAAGAATTTGAACAAAACACATTACTTAACAAATCATGTTGGGAGTTGTTCTCTCACATCCATGTTCCTGGCTGACAGTACACTTTTCAAAACATCATGATTTGTCAAGTAATGTGTTTTGTTCAAATTCAACAAAACACATTACTTAAATCATGTTCAGGCCTATGAATGTGAATACAGTAAGTAATAAAGAAGTGGAAGAATAAAGAAATGGCAACTGTTTCCATTAGTTGCCAGAAAATAAATTACAAGATAGTGAATGGAGCATACGTATCTAAGGATCTTGTACAGCAGTAGGGAGATTCTTGTTAATAAACACAGATTGCATAGAAAAGAGGAACAGAAATCCTATGATTTGTCCTTGAGTTATTTGTTCTATGATTTATTTGTTTTCTTGGCTATCCATGGTATTCTCAACGACGACGTTCCAAAGCTTGAGTATTTTTTCTATCCTGCTTTTTCAAAGTCCAGCTTTCACTTCATAGAGTGTCACAGGGAAAATAATTGCCTGCACAATTTGATTTTGTTGTAGAAATGTTATTGAGTTGATAGTTTTTCCAAGGCCTCCCAAGTGCTAGTGTGTGGTATATTTCTTGACTGCTGGTTCCTTTAGTACTGATAGTTGATCTTAAAAGGCAGAAGCTGACTACCATTCCAATATCTTCATTGTCAGTTCAAAGGTTAGCTGCTGTGCCTGTTCGCGTTAGTTTGGTCATCTTTATTTTTAATCTTAGCTCCACTTTTTCACTGTGCTCCTTGACTTTCATCACTGGAGCTGGCAGATTGTTTGTGTTTTCGGCTATCAAGAGTAATGCCATCAGCATAGTACAGGTTCTTCTTGTTTTTTCCTCTAATTTTAAAACTACACTAATCTTTTTTTCAACCCAGCTTTCCTCAGTATATATACAGCATATAGAATGAATAAATAGTGGGAGCCTTGTCTAACTTGTTTGCCGAACTGGAACAGTCTGTTTCACCATGTTCTCTCCATACTGTGGCTTCCTGACCTGTGTATAGGTTTCACATGAGGGCAATGAGATGTTCTGGGATTCACCTTTTCCTAAGCCTATTCTACAATTTGATATAGACAACAATCAAAATCCTTTCTATAATCAATGAAGTACATATTGACTTCTTTTTGGTATTCTTTAGCTTTCTTTAGTGTGCATTAGCAATAACCTCTTGTTCCTCAGCATTTTCTAAAGGCTGCTTGAACATCTAGCATCTCCCTTTCTGTGTATGGCTCTACACACATTGGATGATCCTAGAATTATTTTGCTAGCATGTGAAATTAGCAATACTGTATGATAGTTTGGACTCTGTTAAGTTTCCTTTTTTTTGGTACTGATACACCGACTGACCTCTTCTGTTATTCTCCAGATTTTCTGGCACAGTTTGGTTAGAATCTCCTCCTCCTCCTCCTCCTGCTGTCGCTTGTCATGTTTCTGTAGGTATTCCATCAATTCCTGTAGCCTTCCAACTTAGTAATGATTGCTGATCTAACTTCATCTTCTGGCACCAGAGATTCTTGTAAGTAGGGAATATCTTCTAAGGTATCTTCCATGTTGACATCTCTACTCTACAGAATTTCAATACATTCCTTCCACCTTTGTTTGATCTTCTTTGAACTGGTTTATATTTGTCTAGTGGCATCTTTTGGCATACCACTGAAGCTGGAACCTCCCTCTGAGTTCAGAGACCTTTTGGAAGATTTTCCTTGTTTTTCCATGTCTGTTTCCTTCTTCAATGTCTTCACAGATATCATTGTAAATATCACTTGTCTCTTCTAACAATTCTCTGAAATTCTTTCTTGGGTTTCTTCCTGAGATCATTGTCTGTCTTGGCTTTGGCTTTTCTTAGCAATTTCCATCATTTGTTCTGATATGCAGTTTGCTTTCTTCTATTTTTTTATGTTTGGCTGTCTGTTTTCACATTCATCCTTAACAGTGCTTTCATTTAATTTCATAGTTCCCCTGGTTCTCTATCAGTGAGGTTCAGGATTTCAAAGTGATGCCGGGGTAGTGCATACACCGCATTGTGGCATTCCGTGTGCGATGCAACAAAATAAACAGCTCACAGTCCGTTGTAGCAAAACTATATAGACCTTTACTGCACAATATTTACAGTAAATATTTACAAGCAGAACTTACAACTACAGTCAATATTTACAAGCAGAACTCCAACGTCCAGCACTCCAACACCCCACGCCCAACACCCATGAGGCATTGGGTTATATACCTTGGTTTGTGCTGTGTCATGCCACACCCTACAGCTGTGAGCACTTGGTACCCTGAGCTGGCAGAGCTGATGAGGCAGCTCAGCTGTGCTCTGTCATTCACAGAGACAAAAATTCCTACTTCAGGGTATACCCTGACGCCCCTCCAGTCTTTTTCAGTGTGAATACAAATCCCTCAAGCCTAAATGCATAACCATGTCCCAGTGCTTCTGCCTGCATAATGGTTTTGTCATAATGTCTGCCACGTTATGGTCTGATATGAAATATACCAATTTTATCAACCCCTTATTTACTGCCTGACAAAAATTCCTACTTCAGGGTATACCCTGACAAATGATTCCTGATGTTCTCTTTGAATATGGTGGGTATATGCTGGAAACTGGCACCTTTCAAAAGTCACCTTCAATCTTCTACTGGCTTTCCCCTGGTGTCCTCAAATCTCCTCTTGAAATACTAATGGATTGCAAAGCTGTGGGATCCAGCTGCTCTGCATCTATACAAATTGGGAATAATTTTCTGGATCCATCCAGGTGAGAAACAATTCTAGTAATAGAGAGTAAATTCCTGAGAGCCAGTGTTTCCCTTTCCTACATGTAGCCGCATTTATTTACAACATAAGTAAATAAAAATTAAAAATGCGGAAGTATCAGCAGGGTGTTTTACACGTATAGTGGGAAGTATGTTCAAATAGGTTGTTGTCTGTCAACTGTTAGTAAAAGAGAATATAAATAATATTTTGCTTCCCTCACCTATAAATATTTTTGTCTTAAGAATTTAACACCTTCTCCTAATTATCCTTTAAAGGTGGGTAGGAAAGACTCCATTCTAAACAAATTGTGGAATCCTTAGTGCTCTCTGAGCTTGACTGACTGCTTGCAGACATTTAATTACTTGACTAGATAATGTCATCAGTGCTAGTTGAGTAATGATATGTCTGCAAGCAACCAAGCTCAGAGAGCACCCAGGACTCCACAGTTCAACCCTGAGCTATATATATTCTCTTCTAAATAAATTCTCTTATCTAGCTTGACACTAAACAATGTAGAAATTATCTTTTCATGAGGATTCCTCTGGAGTTAAAATAGGAAGATGAACAAATACAAATTTATTTCCAGATATAGCACTTCTCCACCGACTGACCTCTTCTGTTATTCTCCAGATTTTCTGGCACAGTTTGGTTAGAATC